AGCAGGGGTTGGGGGAGGATAAAATGGGTGAAGGTAGTCAAAAAGTTCAAATTTCCAGTTATAAAATAATTATGTCCTTGTGACTGCAGTTAATAATAATGTTTTGTATATTTGAAAGCTGCTAAAGGGTAGATCTTAAAAGTTCTCATCACAATGAAAAAATTAAAACAATGAGTGGTGATAAATGTTGACTTATTATGGTGATCCATTTACAATATATACAAATATCAAATCATTATGTTGTACATCGAAAACTAATATATTATGTATCAATTATGCCTCAACAAAAAAGGTCAATTAAAGAGAAAAGAAAGCATAGAGACCACAAGGACAAAAAATTAGAAAAAGGAAAGGTGAATTTGGAAAAAGGACTAAAGCAATACCTGGACAAAAAAATATCCTTATTGAAATTGAAATCCCATTGGACAAAAAACAGAAGTATTTAAAACATGCTAAAATGTTTAAGAAACAAGAAAGAATACCATATTAAACCCAAAGAAATAGGTAGGAAGTAATGAAGAAAAATCCAGAAATGATGAATTAGAAGACAATGGAGCTAACTAACAAAAGACTGTTCTTTGAAAAGACTGATATAACTGACAGTTTTACAGGTATCATCGATTACAAAAGAAAAAACAGAAGTAAGTGATATTAGTTAAATAGTATTGTAAAAAATATAGGTGCAGAAGGAATTTAAAAATATTATGAGAAGACTATAAACATCATTACCAAATTGTGGACAAGGATAGTTGTTACATAAACACATATTTCATCTAATAAATTAAAAAAGAATGATAGAAATAGAATATTAACAATGTGTAAATCTTAATTAGTTAATGGATAAATATGCTCATCTTCAAAGACTGCAAGCATCAACACAAAGGGAGACAGGCATTAGGTTCCTGGTAATAAAAGTTCACAGAATCACCCACAGAGTGGTTTTTCCAAACAAAAAGCAGAGAGAAAAAAGTTAAACCTTAATCTATCAAACTTCTACCAATTTAAAGAAATACAGGGGAAGAAGGACACTGATATTGGAATCAGCAAAATCCAGGCCATATGAAGCAGGACAGAACATAAGATGTGGGCTTTATTCCTAAGACAAAAATGATAAGGAAAAGGTGTATAGATGTGTGGAGGCAGTGTTAGGATCTATAAATTAATGGACATAAAAGGTAATGAAAATGAATAGACTTTTTTTTCCCCTAATTCAAGGAAAAAAAACATTAAAAAATATATGTCAGTCAGGTAAATGTGAAAAATAACTGGAGGTTTGATTATATAAGGAGTTAGTTTTTTTAAAGGAGGATATGTGTTATTGGTTTATGTTTCATAAAGGATGCTTATATTTTAGAAATAGATATGGAAATATTTAAAAATGAAATGGTACAATATCTAAGACTTGTTTCTCATTATTTTAGTGGCAGGTATGGGTGTGGGTGTGGGTATAAAGAACCAGAGTGGCTATGTATTGATGACTACTGAGTCTGACGTCAGATATATTGGCTTTATTATACTCTTCTCTTTACTGTTGTATATGTTTGAGACTTTCTACAATAAATAAAATATATATGTAGCCATCAAATTTGAAATCTCAAGTGAAAATAGACCGTTATTTAGAAAAAAATATTAATTACCCAATTGGTACAAACAGAAATAGAAAACTGCAATTGAGAAATACAAACTGAAACTGTCCTCAGTGCTCTAGGCACCTTCATATGTTTCAGGACAATGCAGTTGAGGGCCAGTTCTACCAAAAAATAAGCAAAATATTAACCACCATATGTAAATATATCCAAAGCATACAAAAAGATGGGAAATGTTTGAACCCATTTTCCCAGGCTAGATCTCTCTGATAAGAAACCCAGCTGAGGACACTGAAAATGCAACACTTAAGCCAAGCCCACCCACATACAGGCAAAGTTCCTAAATATATTCATAGAATGGTCAGTGTAGCAGTGAATTAAATGGGGAAAAAGGGGCTGAATCCAAGAAATGCAAAGATGACATAACATTAGAAAAAAACTGCTTAAAATATTACCATGTTAACAGATAAGATTTTAAAAAGCATTTAATTATGTACTGAAGTGCACAAAAAGCTTTTGAAAAAAAATTCAACGTGAATCCATGATAATCCCATCTAGCAAACTAATATTAGAAGAGAACTTTCATTTCCCCAAATCTAAAGCAAATGAACTTAAATGTGAAATGTTAATAGCATTTCCATTAACATAAGGAACAAGACATAGCCGTATGCTACCAACTCTATTGTACAAAACTGGACTGGAATGCATAGCCAGAGGATAAAAATACAAAAATAAATAAAAGCTAGGAATATTACAAAGAAAGAGAAAGCACGTGTTGTAAGTATGATGACCATTTTGGAAAAAAAAAAAGCAAAAAGCCATGGATTATTCAAATGAAATAAGTGACTTTGGAAAGCTGGTGTATAGATTACTATACTAAAATCAAGAGTCTTGCTGTACAAAGTAGTAATTAGAACATGCACATAATCTATGTGTTATGAATGAGAATCAAAATTATAAGAATTTCACTACACTGCGCAATGTTTGCTAATGTCAAAAGATCTGGGTCTCAAAAAACTGTGCAGATCTGCATCTTCCGTGTAAAAAGCAGATTTTTTTCAAACAGAAAGCTCCCAAAAATCTAAGTTTTGACTGATGAAGAGAACCCATCATCACTACGCATTTCTCTGACAACTCATAAGCTGTTCTGGCCCCCTTAACGTGTGCGGTAGTTTTCACATCATGTCCGAGACGAGGACCCACTGTCTGCAAGGTTTAAGGTGAGAAACTGTCCAGAGGGTACAGGGAGGTGATATTTCCCAAGCTGCCTTTAAGTGATGAACCAGGAGCCAAAATGAGGACCTACCTCCTAAGACATGACTTAAGTTACCAGCCACACAGTAACAGAAGGTGCACCAGAGGTCATGCCCCTTTCCGCTCCACATCCAGGGTCACATTTGGTAAACCCCACAGTGGCGCGGGGCGGGGAACAGCCATATGTGTCTCACAGCGACTTCCGTTTCAAATTTGCACAACGTAAGACCTTCTGAGTGTGAGAGACGCGGCCTCACTTACATCCAGATGCATCCAGACGCATCCAGACACATCCACCCTCTGCCGGTGTAAGGTAAGAGGATATTAAGGTTTGCGGGAACGTTAACACAAAAGACAGACGGACCCACAGTCCTGTCCCTACTGTCAGTTCCAGAAGGTGCCAGGCAGGGATTGCCCAATGTATTGCCGTCTGAATTCTCGGTCTGGAAACTGAGAAGCAAGAGCACTGTATTAGAGTGTATCGGCAATTAGCCAACGGAGAGGGGAATCCAGGCCGGGTCCGGAATCAATAATGCACCCTGTGTGAGTTCAGCGGAACGTCCCCGCCCCCATACTATGTGTCCCTGACAAAGCTTGCCATTGTTGTCGGCCCTGGGAGACCCCAGGTAGGGGTGGCTGGAAATGACAAACCTATCTGGCCGCTCCAGGAATTGAGGGTATTGGACCTGGATGTCTGCCTCACGCCAGCAGAGAAAGGGATCCCAGGTTCTACCAGGAGTCAGTGAATGTCCTTGCTTAACAGCCTGGGAGAAACCACCTCCCCAAGACAGTAGAGGCCCTACAGAGTCCCGCTGCCGCTGCCAGTGCTGGAGAGCCCCTGGTATGGCTGTAAGGCCTAGGTTCCCTCCCACTTTACCTTTTGGTGAGTGCATGGGGAGGGGGTGCATAAGAGCCTTGGTCTAAGGCTACATGATGCAGGTTAGAAGGAGAAGGAGTCCTAGGGGTGGCTTTTGGTGAAGTTCAGAACCTTGGGCAAGGACTGAGGGGAATTTCTCTCTCAGGATAATGAGGACCCTACCGAGTACCACCCCTTCTATAAGCCCTGGTGGCCTCTCAGTAGGGCTGTCAGGCTAAGATATACCTCACTTTATCCTCAGGGGTCCCAGGGAGATGACAGTCCTATCAGAAGAAGGTGACCCAGGCTCTTCTAGAAGTCAAAGTGGAGACTGAAGTTGGTACACAGAGTCAGGCCCTTCATCTGTGGGAAGCCCTGGGAGATCTGTCATTCTGAATGCCCCTCCCCCTAAATCCCCTGCATATTCCAGGTTATTAGGTGGATGAGAGCCTTGACCTGGTTATTATAGTCAAGTCTACAGAAGGGAGGATACCAGACAGTTAAGGGGAGGATCCACAATGAGAAACCTGAGGGTTGAGGGAACCACTCATCACAGAACAGAGGGTGTTTCACAGAGACCTACATATGGTGTCATCCGTGGCAGAGATCCTAGGGGATGATATTTTAAACAGAGGCCACACTGAACTCCTGAGGACTTCCAGGGATAAGAAGGCCTTGCCCTGATAGGTTAGGTATAAGGGCGGCTGAAGGAGGAATCTCAGGCACTCTAAGAACCCAAGGTCAGGACTGAGTGAGGAGCGAGAACCTTAATTATCCCAGGATAGAGAGGGCCCTACAGAACTCTGCCATTTGTGTCACTGCAGGGGGTTCTCAAGCAGGTATGCTCAGATGAGGCTCCCTGACTCAGATTTCAGGAGGTGAGAACTTTGAAATGAGGGGTCAGCATCAAAGCAGTTGAGCAGAGGACCTTAGGTCCTTTCAGAAGTCCATGTGATGGCCCTAAGTGTGAACTGTTACTCCAGCACAGGGGAGGTCCCACAGGGCCAGGGCTTGCCAGACCCTGTATCAGCCCCAGTAAGACCAGGCAGAGCTAGAGAGCGCGGACTTAACGAGCTCTAGTTACTTACGCAGAGTCCTCGGAGAAAGGACGACCAGAGAGGAGGAGCCTAGTAGTTCCTAGAGCACAACCCTCTAGGAAACTTGCAGAGATGGCTGTCCCTAAAGCCTAAGGTGGTATATCCCTGCTAAAGGGGTTCACACCAGGTCATCCTCTTTCCTCCAGGTCACTGAATCATCTACCATCTTTCTCACACTCTTACCCACCATCCCTGACCAGAGTCATCATGCCTCAGGGTCACAAAAGTAAGCTTCGAGCTCGTGAAAAACACTGTCAGGCTCCAAAAGAGCCCAGTGATCCGGTGGGTGCTCAGGCCACTGTACCAGAGGAAGAAGAGTCCTCTTCTCCCCCATCGCCTCTTTGCAAAGATGCTCCCAAGAGTTCACCTGCCACTGGAATATCCAGCAATCCTCAAGGGCCTGGGAGTGTCCACAGCACCACCACTACTGCTGCAGCTGCTTCAAACACAGGATCTAGAGAAGGTGCAAAGAAGCAAGTGGAAGAAAAGCCATGTGCCTCCCAGGCTCAGAATTTTTTTGAGCTGTGGAAGAGAGACCCTCTACACCAGAAGGTCTTTATGTTGGTGTACTACCTGGTGCGCAAGTATCAAATGAAAGAGCCCATTACCAAAGCAGATATGGTGAAAAATGTGATCCAAAAGTACAAGAATCACTTAAGTGAGATCCTGAAGAAAGCTTCTGTGCACCTGGAGCTGATTTTTGGCCTCAACATGAAGGAACTGGATCCCAACAGGGGCACCTAGGTCCTCATGAACAAACTGGAAGCAAGCTATGACGGGATGCAGAGTGAAGACAGTATGCCCAAGACAGGCCTACTGATGGTTATCCTGGGTGTGATCTTCATGAACGGCAACTGTGCCACTGAGGAGCAAGTGCGGGAGGTGGAATCAGTTATAATAAATAAGACTTCTTGCACCCTGTCTCATTTATTTCACAAACATTCCTTGACTACTCTCTGGGAGTATCTGTGCTGGTACTGGGAATGTCAGGATAAACCAGACCCACCGTGCCCATAAAACTTTAGAATCTAGGAGCAGCTGTCAAGTAAGGAAAAGGGTGAGATACACCCTAAGACCTAAGAACAACTCAAAAAAAGGAGAAGACATGGGAGGATCCAGATGTGAGCAGTCAAGTGTAGATGCCCTGGGGCAACTGTGTGTTTTGGGTCTTGGGAAATGGCAAGTCCTTTGGTGTGAGTCAGTGGGTCAGGTGAGGCTGCGGGAGTGGTGGGCAGGGGTCAGAACCTCAGAAGGTGTGTCCAGAGTTGACAGGTTAAAGCCTGAAATGGAAACCTTGTCTAGCAGTTGCTTTGGAGTTGTGGATAAAGCAGAGAGAATTCTCCACTTGGGATATGAATGGAAGGTGTCCTTCAACCTTTCCCAGTGTCCTTCTCCCAGTGCAGATGAGCACAGCACATGAACTATGGGCTGTATGCACATCATCCCCAGGGTGTTTGAGAAATAAGGGTGATGCTTACATGACATGGGTGTGCTCAGAAGCCACTGTGCTAGCAATCTGTGCTCTGGCCTGCGAGAGATAGAGTGCACTACATTAAAAGTTCACTACATTAGGTTGTCTTGTGTGTAATTTGGCAAACATCAAGTGAGGGGTAGATCTTTAATGGGGCTGCAATAAATTACATAGAGGCAGTTCGGATGGAAGGACAGTTGGAAGGGATGAAAAGACTTGATTCTTGACACAAATTCTAGGATCCTTAGGTTCTATCCAATTGGAGAAGACTCCACCATACAGAATAAACATATCCTCAAAAATTGAGTAGTTTGTTTCCCTTGCTGAGTACCGTATTGGCTAATTTGTTGTGCTGTATCAGATGGCTGCATATTCTCTGATATTCTTGGATTAAAAAAAAAAAATCAGAGAGCAGATTTCAGTAGGTTCCGGGGTCAAAATAATAATAGCAATAGCTGTAAATTGTTAAAGACTCATATGCCAGATACTGGGCCAGGTACTCTTACACATCACATATATCCTAGGGGTCTTACAATGCAGAGTTTATCAAGTTCATTTCATAGAAGAGCCTCATAAGGCTTTGCAATTTTCCTGACTTCACATGGCTCGTAAGTGTCAGTACTGGGACTAGACCTCTGGTCTGAATTCATTTAGGGTCCCTCACTGCTCCATTTGAATAAAACTGATGTTCTGTCTCTTAATTCATTGCTACTCCACAATGTCTCTCATTGGAATGAAGGACCCTGTTGCCAGTGTACTAACCACAATTGCAATAAAGATGAAAATGAGAATTAAAAAAAACTTCAGGATAGTCTGTGGGATTAATTCACCTAGGCTCCTGCTGTCTCTAAACCCCAAAGTTCCTTGCAAGCTGACTCTGTCCTAGTACCAGTACTTGGGACCAGTTCCATAACTATGCAAAATCAACCCGCTCTTCCCCTGGGTCTTCCCCAGTGTGCCCTCATGTGCAAATCACCAGCCTTTCCCCTGACTTACAGCATTCCCAACCCCTGCAGACATCCCCTGCCTGTCCCACCCTCACCATGGGACCCCTCACAATAGCCCCGTGCACGTGGTTGTTTACATTGACAGTGATGTTTAGACGTCTGCTCAACTGCTCTGGCTGCTTCCACCACGTGCTCAGTTTTTTACAATTTGGCTTGTGAGCAGGTCTGATTGGCACAGGGCCTACTGGTTCTGGAAAGATAACCCTGAAGTTAGAAAGGAGGTTTTAGAAAGCACAGCAGATTAGTACAGTTTAATCTGGTGATTTATTTGAGATTGGCCATTGAATTCATAAACTGATGAGAGAAAGATTAAGTGGTCAAGAACCAAACCTCCCTCCTAAGTGGTAGATGAGGAAGGACAGAGGAAATTATTGCATAGTAACTTTTGGCAGATGCTGGATTCCTGTAAACTCAGATGTCCTTTCAGGAGGACCTAATATTTTTCTATTGTCGACAAACAAATTGCCGTACGTTAATGAACTTAAAACAATGCACATTCATTATCTCACATTTCTATAGCTAAGAAATAGGCTGTGTTGGAATTTTTTGCTCAGGGTTACACAAAACCCAAATCAAGCTGTCTGAGTCTGGGTTCTTAATAAGAGGTGCTGAGAAGAATCGCATTCCACTCTTATTCAGGTTGCTCTCAAAATCCAGTTTCATGAGAAATTCAATTAGTTCTCTGCAGATACAAAACCGAAGCCCTGTTTCTTTGATGATGGCTAGCTGGAGCTGCCATACTTCCTTAAGGCCTCTCTCCAGTTTTTGCATGTGGGTCCTACTTCAGAAGCAGCATGCTGGGTCTTTTTTGCTGTGGAAACTCTCCTACTTCTCCTTCTGCAGCCTATCTCTTTTACCTCCAGGTAGAGAAAGTTCTCTGCTTGTAAGGGCTCATGTCAATAGATTGGGCCCACCCAGATATTCCAGGATAATCTCCCTATTCTGCAATTTTAATTACATCTGCAAAGTGCCTTTGGCTATGAAACATAACATAGTCACAAGTTTCAGGGTTAAGTATGGGCATTTTCTTGGAGCAATTATTCATCCTACTACCAAAGTAGAAAATGTCACACTGGTAGACATGCCAGTTTTGATAAGAAAAGAAAAACAATTCACCGTCATTCTCCTGACTCCTGTTTTGACCCCTGGAGGAAGATCTTTTTTAATGTGCCCAAAGATACCTGTACAAGGGTTCAGGCAAGTTCATCAGTAGGTGGGTAGCAGACACTCAGAAGCTGTGATTTGATCATGCAACAAAAGAAGATTCCCAGTGTATTGAGATTGTAGACGTTATTGGAAAGGTCAGTGCAGAAAAGTGCTATAGAGTACGGAAGAGTGAGCCCTCCCTGCTGAGATGTATCAGATCATTTTGAATGTTGGTGTGATCCTGTATTTGAAAATACCTGTCACATTAAGGAACTAGAAAAAGTTGCTGAAATGCAAAGAAGAATCTTCTCAGAAAGTCCTCCAGGAATGAAGAGGGCTAATGTCATACCAAATTATAATAGTTGTTGTTTTGGGAGCGCCTGCTAAGCAATAGTTCACGGGAAAATCTGCAAGTGCTCATCGCTTTGTGTCTTGCTCTCCATTCTTGGTTCATGTGGAGATTACCTGCCAGTCCATTTGTAGTTAGGAAGGTCATTTAACAATTCTTGACCCTGAAATCTGAGCAGAAGCATGCTTGTCACCTCCAGACCAAGTTATTAGAGAACCAGTATGCCACGTCCATGTTTCATTAAGCAGCAAACATGGAGAGCCTGTGTGGAGATGTGGAAGCTCATGATGAAAGCAGCCTGGATTCCTGAGTCACCTGATAATGGAGATCCCCCTGCCAACACCCATCAGATTCTATGAGTGTTAAGTGATAAATACAATTTTGTTATGTTAAGCCATTCAGAAGTCAAACTTTTCCCATTGTACCTCATAAATACTTCAGCTGAATAATACACAGCTACTATTTCTGTGGTTGCCCTTATTTAAATATTTTAATTACAAAGGAAATAGAGCAGATATTCTTGTTGCCAAAAAGTTCCAATAGGAATAAATCACAGTTCTGCTTCCTTACTATGTTCTTCTAAAATCCATCCCTTCCCAGAGTAACCACATTAAAAAATATTGTGTGCAGAATTTTAAAATTTATTCCAGGCCTATTCTTACATACATGTGCTAGAAAAATATACTGTGAGGTTTAAAAATACACATATAATGGCATGCATATTGTTACTGACTCTTGCCCTTGTTATTGAATAAGATGAATGCAGGATATTTCCATGAGGTCAAACATGGATCCACCCCACTCTTAACTACTCCCAAGAATTCTTAAGTGTGTATGTGCCATAATTAATTTAACTATTCCCCTTGTGATGGACACACAAGTTGTTTCCCGTTTGTTGCTATGGTAAATAGAACTGTTATCAACATCATTGAACATCAATTCTTGAGCAAATGTGCATGCTTTCTATAGAAAAGATGTAGAGAAGTGCAATCTGATTAAAATGGAAAGAGTGCAATGACAGTAAACTTTTATGAATAATGCTGATATTCTGTTCCAATAATGTTGTACCAAATTATCTTCCCACATATTTATGTATGTGAATAAATTAAGCTTTCTGGCATTTTATCAACCTTTTAAATGTTGGTCAAACTTTTGAATGAAAATGTGTTGTTTCCCTGCTACTTTAATTTGTATTTCCCAATTTTCTAAATAGACTGAACAGAAAATTAACTTAATCCTTCACCCATATAAAGTGATATTTCTACAGTGATCTCTTAATTACCAGGATTCCTCTGGGTGCATGCTTTAGAATTCTGATATGTCCATTAGACTTTTCCCTTTACTTTGCAAAGCAAGGGTGTGTCAGAATGACCAGCTGCCAGGAAACGGGCCTCGACAGGAAAACATCAGCAAATGAGGAACAGCAGGAGAACCAGGGGTGGAAGCTATAGAACAATTTCTAGAATCTATGACAGAGATCACATATTAACACAAGTCAAGAGAGCCCAGGGCAGCTGGCAGGCAGGGATATGCAGACTTCAGGAAATGGTAGAAAAGATACCAGAAGGAGGGAAGGTAGAGAATCTGGTGGAGGTACTGGACCATTTACTTGGATAAGCTAGGGAATCTCTAAATCATCAGTACCAGCCTGAAGTTGTAGAGTGATAGGAGTGGGCAGATCTATTGGATGAAAGGGCCAGAGGTATGCCTGGTAGCCCTTCCTCCCTTACAGAGCCCCCTGCCCACCTGTCAGGCAGAGCATAGCTGGCTCCACCAAGTGATGTTACTGATGGAATCTGGCAGCTACGTCTCTTCACTACTCTAATGGTTCCATACATCCTTACCAGGGCACCAGAGCTGTGAGCAGTCTTGATGTCCGATGAAGAAGGCCATTTCTTCCCCTGTATATGAGGCCATCCTACCACTAAGGCTGAGGCTGAGGCTGTGCAAGTGGGTGGGACTGGTTGGTGACTCAGGACGTTAGAATAGGGCAAGTGTTACCAAAGAGTGGTGGAAAGAGGGGTGCAGGTGCAAGGAGGAGGAA